TAATTGCCATTGAGACGTGTTCAAAAGGATTACAGTATGATACAGAATTGAAACAACAAGTGATTGTATACATAGGAAGGCATGGAAACAGCAACGGGCATGACATTGTTATCAGTGAAGCAAATATTTCCTGTTGGAGGAATACCTCCAAATTCTAAATTTTCTCGTGAAGTAACAACCATGTTGTAAGTGATGAGAAAGCAGTGTGTCACACTATAATTGGCAGTCTTTTATTTCCCTTAGTGTATGTATCTTATATTGGTATATTTTACTCTCGGATATGACACTAAATGTATAGGCAACAAAAGCAAAAATTGACAAGTGAGACTACATCAAACTAAAGAGCTTCTGTACAGCAAAGGAAATGATCAACAAATGAAAAGGCAATCTAGGGGCTAGCCCAGTGACACAGTGGTTAAGTTCATGCACTCTGCTTCGGCATCCTGGGGTTCGCAGGTTCAGATCCCGGGTGCAGACCTACACACTGCTCACCAAGCCATGCTGTGGTGGCATCCCACATACAAAATAGTGGAAGACTGGCACAGATGCTAGCTCAGCGACAATCTTCCTCAAGCAAAAAGAGGAGGATTGGCAACAGATATTCGCTCAGGGCCAATCTTCCCCACCAAAAAGAAAAAGAAAAGGCAATCTACAGAATGGGAGAAAATATTTTCAAACCATGTATCTCATAAGGGGACTATATATATAAAGAACTCCTACAACTCAAGAGGAAAAAAAGAAATAGCAAGATTAAAACATGGACAAAGGATTTGAACAGACATTTCTCCAAAGAAGACATACAAATGGCTACCACGTACATGAAAAGGTGTTCAACATCACTAACCATCAAGGAAATGCAAATCAAACTACAATGAGATATTACCTCACATCTGTTAGAACGGCTATTACCCAATAGACAAGAGATAACAAGTGTTGGTGAGGATGTGGAGATATTCAAACCCTTGTACACTGTTGGTGGGAGTGTAAAATGGTACACTGCTATGGAAAACAGTATGGAGGTTCCTCAAAAAATTGAAAATAGGACTATCATATGATCTAGCAATTCCACTTCTGGGCATTTTATCCAAAAGAATTGAAATGAGGATCTCGAAGAGATATCTGCACCCCCATATTCACTGCATCATTATGCACAACAGTCAAGATGTAGAAACAACTTAATTGTCCTTTGAAGCATGAGTGAATAAAGAAAAATGTGGTCTATATATATAATGGAATATTATTCAGCCTTAAAAAAGAAGGAAATCCTGCCATATATGACAATATGAATGAACCTTGAAGACACTATGCTAAGCAAAATAAGCCAGTCACAGAAGAACAGATACTGCATGATTCCACTGATATGAGGTACCCATATTCATAGAATCAGAGAGTAGAATGGTGACTGCCAGGGGCTAGAAAAAAGGGAAATGAGGGGTTGTTATTCAAAATTCATAAAGTTTCAGTTATGCAAGATGAATAAGTTCTAGAGATCTGCAAATTTGTTAAGAAGGTAGATCTCATGTTAAGTGTTCTTACCACAATAAAAAAATATGAATCAACTAATTTTTTTTTTAAACGGTGTGTCTTATAAAAGATGGTGGCTTAGATACAATGAAATACAGTTAAGTATTGAGCCATTACTCTGGGTCGAGAAGTGTGCTAAGTGCCTTCCATATGCCAATTCATTCAATCCTCACAGATATTAAGGTAAATATTATTCCTGTTATACAAATAGCCCCTTGCCAGGGTTACAGCCAGTGAATGGAAGAGTCTGAGCAAGAACCCAGGTATATACTCTGCTCCCTCCCTAGCTAGGCAAATTTTCATGATGCAAGAACATTAGTCAGAGTTTGCAAGGTCAGCTTTTCCCACCCTACCCTCTTCCGCACTCCCCACTCATTCCTCCCCACCCAGAGATGAGAACAAGATGCTGGAGTTTATCCCTGAGGCTAATGACCAAATTGCCTGTCTGGCCTTAGGAGAGCCCTACTCTAACCATTACCAACCATCTTCCCTCTGCCTTTCAATTATCACCTTCCAAGAACTATAAACCTAAAATGTAGGCCAGGTCTCTGGATTTTCTGCAACAGCCTAAGGCACAAGTCGTTTTTATTTTGGCCAAACAACTGCAAGATTCCATGCTCCACCTTTCTTCCGACCTGGTCACCCAACTCTGCCATGTGTTTCCATTGTCAACCTCAAAGCAACAGCCCCAGGAGAAACAAGGGTGAAGCAATTACACAAAGTCCCACAGATGGAAGGAACTGGAGACTTGCTCTATTATTCTCAGGTTCAGAGGGCTGATGATGTTACCCCTTTAACTTGGGAAGGATGTAAGATGATAAGCTAAGCAACCAAGTTAAAAAGTTACACTCGATGTCATAAACTGGAAACCTAAAGTTATCTTTACTCATATGAAACTATCTTCAATTGACACAAGATGGGCAAAGGAGGAAATATCCAAGGGAAAGGGGAAAAGACCTTAATTTTACAATTTCACCTTTACCCATTCACTGCATTCTACTTAATAGAATCAAATCCATGAAGTGTGTTCTTATTTCCAACTTCCACATCACCAACTAAAAAAAGGAAGAGGGTGGACAATCCCAAGGAGACTGAATTTCTTTTCCCAAGTGACAGAGTCAGGCAAGCTCTCAGGATTTCAGCTTAAAGTAGAATCCAGGTCTCCTAATATCGAGACATGAGAGCAACATTTAAACAACAACAAACCAACTCACTGAACAACACATTGATCAAAAATAAAATCGAGAGAGCCAGCTCTTATGGCCTAGTGGTTAAAGTTTGGTGCACTCTGCTTCGGCGGCCCAGGTTCGGTTCCTGGGCATGGAACCACACCACTTGTCTGTCAGTAGCCATGCTATAGTGGCAGCTCACATACCAGAACTAGAAGGACTTACAACCAGAATATAAAACTATGTACTGGGGCTTTGGGGAGGAAAAAAAAAAAGATAGAGGAAGATTGGCAACAGATGTTAGCTCAGGGTGAATTTTTCCCAGCAAAAATAAAATAAAATTGACACAACACATTATACTAATACTTCCTTGTGAAAATAAAAATCAAATAGTGAATTATCTATTTTAGACTTAGGTTTGCTCAAATGCCACAATTTTCCATAGACATAGTGCCATACTTAAATATATGCACAAGCTAATTCCTAAATATTATGTGTAAAGACCTTCATGTGCTACCAATATTAAATTAAAAATTAACTCATATTATTACATTATGCTCACCTCTTCAAAAATGAAAGACTAAAAAACAATTTTTTGCCAATTATATCAGTATGGTTTAGATTCAATATTAATTCATGTTTAGATTTCACCTGATAAGCCAGTGGCTCACAATCATATTTTTCCACAGACGCAAGAAATAGATCTAGGTCAAAAGCCTGCTACAATAGGCAGGCAGGAGAATATGGATCTGAAAGAACAGAGTCAGTAGAAATGGAAAAAAGTGACAAATATGAGAATGGTACCAAGATTCAAGTCTGAGCAAAGAATAGCTAGTGATGGCAATCAAAGAGATAGAGAATAAAGGAGAAAGACGGCCAAGGGTTGAGAATAAGGAATAAAGTGTTTGGTTGAGCCTGCTGGATCTGATATGTATACATAACACCCATGGGGACATGTCCAACAGGAAGTCAGAAAGGACTTATGTGGACCTCAAGAGAAAAGTCCAGAATAAAGATAGACATGGAAGCCAACAGCCTAAGGGAGAACTGTTGAAATTATGAGAACAGCAATAATACCACATCACCAAGAAACAGTAAATAGTGAGATGAAGAAAAGCCACCAGAGGCCCAAACCTGGGGTCGTTAGCAATGGGAACAGTCTGTGAAGAAAATCAAGACAGAGCAGGTCAGAGAAGCAGGACAAACCAAGAAAGTTTCAGGATCTGTGCTACAGACAGAAAGAAAAGAGCCACCTGCATCAAAGATCACAGAAAGAGTCAAGAGTAAGCAGAAGAAGAGGGCTAACGGATTGGGTGGTTTGTTGTTATGGCGGGACAGAAACAAATGTGGCAAGAAATTAAAGAGAGAAAGGATAGAAAGGCAACCATATTCATCTACCCTCCTGATAAAGCTGAGGATATGAGGATTGTGAAACAATCCTTAAAAGCTCCTTAATATCAAAGATCTTTTATGCATCAATGCTTTTGTCTATGCAGTGTCATATCACATGCTTTATGTTTACATAAAAATATTGTTTTCAACCATTAAATGACCTATAAGGCTGAAGAAAAATGAGAAG